CGGAGGTTGCGGTGAGCCGAGATTGCACCATTGCACTCCAGCCGGGGAAACAAAGCGAAACACCCCCCCAAAAAAAAAAAAAAAAAAAAAAGACAGGCCAGACACAGTGGCTCACACCTGTAATCCCAGCACTTTGGGACACTGAGGCGGGTAGACCACATGAGGTCAGGAGTTCAAGACCAGCCTGGCTAACATGGTGAAACCCCATCTCTACTAAAAAAATTAAATTAAATTAAATTTAAAAATAGCCAGGCATCGTGGTACACGCCTGTAATTCCAGCTACTCCAGAGGCTGAGGCAGGACAATCACTTGAACCTGGGAGGCGGAGGTTGTAGTGAGCCAAGATGGCACCACTGCCCTCCAGCCTGGGCGACAGAGCAAGATTCTTTTTTTTTTTCCCCCCAAAAAACAAAAAGACAAAAGATTGCCAGTGCTAGCAAGAATGTGGATAAAAGGGAACCGGGGAACTTTGTACACTGTTGGTAGGAATGTAAATCAGTACAGCTATTAGGGAAAACAGTATGGAGATTCCCTAAACTAGAACTACTGTGTGTTTCCGCAATTCCACTTCTGGGTATAGAGCCAAAGAAAATGAAATCAGTGTGTCAAAGACATGCCTGCACCCCCATGTTACTTGCAGCACTATTCATAACAGCCAAGACATGGAATCAACAGACAGGTGAAGAAAATGTGATATTTTTAAAAAGTGGTATATACATACAATGGAATCTATTCAGCCTTAAAAAAATGCAGAAAATCATTCCAGGATGAACCTGGAGAAGACTATTAAGTCAGGCACAGAAAGACATACTGCATTATGTCATTTATATGTGGAGTCAAAAAAAGTTGAACTCAGAGAAACAGAGGGTAAAATGGTGGTTGCCATCGCTGGTAGGGGTGAGATGGAGAAAGGGCAGATGGTTAAAGGGTACAAAGTTTCAGTCAGAGAGAATAAATAAGTTCTGGAGATCTATGATGCAGAATGGTGACTACTGTTAATAACAATGCATTGTATACTTGAGAATTGCTAAGAGAGTAGATCTTAAACACTCTCACCACACACACAAAAAGGTAACTATGGGCGGTGAAGAATATGTGAATTAGCTGGATTGTAGTAATTACTGCAAATGTGTACATATAGTAAAACATCATATCAAATATATACAATTTTTATTTGTCAACCATACCTCCATAAAGCTGGAAAAAGAAAAGAAACATTTAAAAAGTAAAAGAGAAGAAGTGCCAAAATAGGGGTTTAAAAAAAAAAAAAAAAACCAATGTCTTGCAACTGGAACATTTCCCTAATTTGCTAATTTTAACTCCCTGCCTCTCCTTTGTCACTAGCAGCAAAAACTCACAGAAATTGCAAATGGCATAATTGCTGACTGGGAGAGGGGTGGGTGCAGGAGGTGGTGGTGGTGGGAAGGAAGCTTTACCATGTCACCCCAGGGACTTTAGAAGAAATACCAATTGAGATAAGGATGGTGGCTGGGACAGAAGGGAGGGAGAAACAGCCAGAACCTGAGAGACTAGGAAGAAAGGAAGAGAAGCTTTGAGAGCCCACAGGGGGTGAGAACAAAGGTTTCCACCAGCCCTAAGCCTGAACCCTCGGCCTCCTCATCCTCATTAACCTCACCCAGGGAGGCCTGCAGCAGGAGGCTCTGGTGCTGCTGGGACGCACCCACCGTGCCTCATCTTACTTCAAGAGGAAAAGCCATCCCAGGGCCAAATGTGGACCAAGAAGGTCTGAATATAACCTACTGGGAAGCTGGACCTGTCTGTGCTGATAACCTTCTAATTTTAAATGAATTCACTCACTCAGTAAGCTTTCTTTTTTTGATTTCTTGTTTGTTTGAGACAGGGTTTGGCTCTGCTGCCCAGGCTGGAAGTGCAGTAGTGCTATCACTGTAGCCTCAAACTCCTGGCCTCAAGTGATCTTCCCACCTCAGCCTCCCAAGTAGCTGGGACTGCAGGTACACACTACCACACCTGGCTAAATTTTTTTTTTTTAATTTTTGGTGGAGACAAAGTCTTGCCATGTTGCCCAGTCTGCTTTCAAACTCCTGGGCGCAAGTGATCCTCCTGCCTGAGCCTCTCAAAGTGCTAGGATTACAG